TGATCACCAAGCACAATCTGCACACTTCCAATAGTGTTGGATTAAACAGGAGGACTCAATAATGTGCTGTTTCAATGCTCCAAAGTAAAATAGGAGTCGAGTTACATTTAAAACTAGTTTTTAAACTTCTTCATTTATATGACGGTAGCTACATTGGAGCTTAAATTTCCAAATGCCTTATAGACTCTTTCTTTTTTATATTACTTTCTATCCAAAGAGTCACATAACTCACAAATTTCCAGTGCCTTGAATAGTGCTTAATAACTGTTGTTTGGATGAAAAAGTGAATAAAGCAAGAAAAGAAAGAAATATGGAAGAAAGGAAAAAGAAAGAGAAAAGATGAATGTACTCAGACTGCAATCCATTTCAAAAGTGACTAATGCACGATGTAGTTATCTTTAAAAATTATCCAAATAACTATGAAGTGTGTAATTCAGATTATGTACAGTAGGGGAGAGCCTATGTAGCTACAATCTTGTCATCTCTTGTAATCTTTTCTCTCTTGTAATCTCTTGTAAAATTTTTTGATTTGAATTATCTAGCTGCCTCCTTTGAACACATACATTCTTCTCTATATTACCCAGAAATGGGCTAAGGGAGAAAATTTCCAGTGGGGCTCTTTTAATATTCTCTAGAAATATTTCCTTAAAACACATGATACAAAAATCAACCTCAAGTTTAATTTTGAGCCCAAACTTATGGGCAAATAGCCTATTATTGGACCCAGCATATTTAACCAAAACAAAATTAACAATAACATTCTGTTTTGACAAAGGTTAATTATCCAACCAAAAGGAAATAAATTCAGTACAGGAATTTGCTTAGTGAGGCAGTGAGAAGAGTTATTTTTCTATCACATGTAAATATGTCACTACATAGCCTCACTTGAAGGGCGTTAGTTCTCCAAGACCCAAATTCAGTGGATTTAATTCCATGTGGTAGGGTTCAGTTCGCTAAGTGAGACATAATAAAGTTCTGACCTCAAGGCATATATTTTGTGGAGGATGAGTTTATCACATCGAATCTAGTGAGACATTGCATTTTGGAGAGAAAATGAAATAGCAAAATATAAATATAAATTTCAATAAAACAGTCAAAATAAGTTAAAAACTCAATTTTATTTTGACACTTATCACTATATATGAGAAAATAGAGTTTTCCTTTTGGTACAAGGATGTCCATCTTGAACACAAGGTTTTTGAAATATAAAAGATGATATTCTACAGAAACACATATGGTATTCCAATTCATTGTTACACTTGCTTTATTCTAGTAGTTTTCCTCATAGACGTATTCATGTATACCTAGACTAATATTGGAATTAAACATTTGAAAAATTTATTAACACTTGGCCTCTTTGTTTCGCAATCTTCTATTGTAATAACCTTGTTATTTTACTTCGTGACATCCAAGGGGATTATCATCAGCTTCCATAATTTGATCTCACAATAGGCATGATTTATTACATCAAAATAAGGATTTCCGTAAGTTTAAATAGATCAGCAGACTTGAGAGGCACATCTCTTAGTTCTTCAAGACAGCTCTTCTGAATCTTGAGACCTCATCTTGGACAAGGGGTAATACCTTCATGAACAGTTCCAACATGGTGCTTATTTTCAAACATTTGCCGACTTACTGTTAGAATAAACTACGACCCACATGAAAATGTACCCCTTTAATAATAAAGACTTACAAAGAAACAATTTTGAAAAAATGATTTTTTTCAAATATTTATGATATGTTCTTTGGAGAATATACTATGAGCTCTACTTCATGTGTGTAAGAATTATAATTTTTAGCACAAGAATTTTTTCTAAGTGTGAAATGCTCTATAATATGCTGTTATTATTGACAGAAAAAATCAAGATAAATCTTTTTATGATTTTTCTTGTATTTTTCTGATTAAGAAGAGAAATGTGACAATTTTATAATTCCTGTGATAATTAAATATTCGTGTCATAATGTATTTTAATTTGGATGTGATTATAACTCAGATAAAGGAATATGTGTTGCTGGGGTTCAGGGCAGGCCGCCCCAAGATGTGCCACTCTGGTCTGCAGACTATTTGGAGCTGAAGACAAGGAAGGCTCAAAAGACTCGGGAAGAGCATCCGACCTTCCCCCCCAAACTGCCTGAGGGATGTTAACATAGAAGGCCTGTCCCAGGACGGAGCTCATATCGTGTGATAGCTATAGTTTGATGTAAAACAGGTGTGATAAAAGGACACCAACAAACCACCAACAAAGCCATTTTTTGGGCCTAGCAAAACCCGTTTAACAAACATTTACATTCCATCTCTATGTAGACTGTCTTCCTCCCCTTTGAAGTCCCAGATCACTATGTCCTCCTTGTCTGTAGCTGAGGGTACTTCAACAGGCGGACTCAGCCAGATGGCTGAGTTACTCAGTTTCCTCTGGGTTTCTCCCATGTATACATGCTATTAAATTTTGTTTGATTTTCTCTTGCTTAACCTGCCTCTTTGATTATTTGACCAGCCATAAGAACTTTAAGGAAAAGCGATGGGGGCAATTCTCCCACTTCCCTGACAGTGTGCATTGCAGACAGCAAAAATAGTAAACTAGGAACCAGCCCTGTGGCATAGTGGTTGAGTTCAATTTGCTCCATGTCAGTGGTCTGGGTTTGCGGGTTCAGATCCTGGATGCGGACCTGTACCACTAGTCAGCCATGCTGTGGCAGTGACCCACGTGTAAAGTGGAGAAAGATTGGCACAGATGTTAGCTCAGGGCTAATCTTCCTCTTCAGCAAAAAAAAAAAGAGGAAACTATGTCAAAGAGTGCCAGATCAGACAAATTTGTTTGACTAAAATCTTTTGGAATATTACATACTATTCAATAATACAACTCTCACAGTACGTGCAAATACAATTTCTGTAACTGAGTCAGTCAAATGATATTCTGTCTTTTCTGCCTTCTAACACATTTCTTAAATGTATTTCTTACTCATCATCCCTAATCAACTTTGTCTAAGAGCTCATAGTCTTCCACCAGTCTATTCCCATACTTTCTTAAATGGTGATCCTTTCTTACTCTCCTTATTTCTGTAATCTTAGCTGACAAATCCAGTCTCTTCCAAAAGACAGCCACAAAGCAAAGTTATTTCTCGCTGCCTAATTTCTTCACAACACCTGATTGATAGAATGTTGATAGGACCTCTTGCTTTCTTAACGAAATATATGTTTTGGAACCAGGCTGTATTTGAATTCTCTTATGAATAAAAGTTTCACTGGGTCAAATTAGTGAGTGGAAGTTTTAGTCAATTTTATATATATATATACACACACACACACACACACACATATATATGTATATATGTATACACACACATAAAAGGCATATATTATAAAGCAATACATATGTTAATATATATTAATATTAGAGGGAAAGCCTACCAGATACACATTGCTTGCTTGTAAAAAGTGAAGGGTAGAGGAGAAAAATAATCGATGATTATTCTTAGGTTTTGAATTTGAGCAAGTGCACAGTCAAATTAGCTGAAACTGGGGTAACGGTAGAACAAAGAGTTCTATTTTGGCTTTGTTAAATTTCAGAAGTCTTTTACACACCAAAGTGTCAAGCGGAGAGTCAAAAGGCACTTGAAGGGAGAGCATACAGCACACGTAACTCAGCATTCTACCAACTTCCCTTCACTCTGATTCCTCAGCCCTCTCCTTCTGTTTCTTTCCTATGTCTCTGCTCCCAACAGTGGGCCTCTCTGTTGCGTGCACCCCTCTGGGGACTGGAGATTGGATTTCAGTTTTGGCTGCTGCTCTCAGGAAGGGAAGCCCTGTCTCCAAGAATTTTGGTGAATAAAATTTTGTATCTCATAAAGGGCACACAACAGCATAACGTGTGGATTTTTAGCTGCCAATGTTTATAATAAACCATTGTATAGCTGAGAGTTTCTTTCCAGCTACGTGCTGGATGTGAATCAGATTTCCTCCTAAGTTAGCTTAAAATTAAAGTTAAAATTAAAGGTAAGATTTTGATTAGTATTCTAGTGATTTCATGCAAACTGGCTGGATTGAAATTCCTTTTAGTACAGAATAGTTCAAAGTTAAAATGGGATTGCCTGGATGATTTTCTTTCCCTTTAAATAACCACCCAGCTGTGTCTCGACCTGCTTCCTTCTATAATCTTTGTTGCAGAAGATGATGAAATAGCACTGTCTGTGTTAACCTGAGGAATATTGACATACTGAAGGATATTAGAAGTATTGGCATATGATGGTTGCAGAAAAATTTTATAGAGAACTGAGAGTAGATGGGTGACATGGGCCAGCTGTGTCCCTCCACCAAAGATATGCTGAAACCCTAACTCCCAATACCTGAGAATCTGATCTTCTTGGAAATAGAGGTCATGGCAGATGGAATTCATTAAGATGAGCTCCTACTGGAGTAGGGTGGGCCCTTATTCCAATATGACAGGTGTCCTTGTGAGAAGAGGAGAGAGACCCAGAGGGAGAAGACAGCTTGGTGCCAACAGAGACAGACTGAAGGTTGCATCTACAAACCACAGAATGACAAAGATTGCCGAGACCAGTCAGGAACTGGGAAGAGGCAAAGAAGGACCGTGCCCTAGAGCTGTCAGAGAGCCAGGCCCTGCCTGCAGAAGGAGGAGAACCAAACTCCTGTTTTTGTAGCCACCAGCTTGGGTCCTTCATTATGGCTGCCCTAGGCAACAAACACAGTGGGAAAGAAAAGAACGTATACAGTATGTGCTTGATAGATCACTTTATTATGCATGGCAAGCTTTTTCTCATTTTGTAGTACAATTAACACAGAGAACAAAGTGGGAAAAATCAAATAGTTCAGAGAATATTATTACCACTGTTTTAAAAGGAGTGAACATTGATCTCGGGTTGTGTTGTTCATGTAACACTGTTGGACTTCATTTTCTTTTTTGTGTTGGAAACCATTTATGGCTCAAATTCTTTTTAAATTCCAATATCATCCATAAGAGAATGCATATAATATGCTACTCTTTTGAATTATTCAAAAGGATGCTTTAAAAAAACTTTGGCTGTATTTGTTAGTTGAGGGCTAACATAACGTTGCCAGATGGGTAAAGGGTTGTGGAGTAGGAAGAATCATCATGAGCACAGAGCAAATCGAATCTCCCGCCAAGCCTGTGGATAAAGAGAGAGCATTCAGATTAAGTCATTGCTAAAACCCTTGTGCCCTCTTGTTTCTGAGCGTTACCTAAATGTAACTGACCAAGTGTTCACAGTTGCCTGTTTGTTGCCCTCTGCTTTGTCTCCACCAAATGTTAGTCAGGTTTATCTCCTTCTTAGGTGCCCCTGAACTCTGCTTACCTCCGAGCCTGAGCAAGCACTAGGAAGGGGAATGTGCCCCCTTACCGGCTTACCTGAGAATCGACTGACCACAGTGGACGCTTTGCCTACCAGTGTCTGCTGCTCGTTTCCCTCGGCTTGCCCAATTTCCCCTTAAAAGTTTCTGCTAATCTTTGCTTCCCTCTCCTTACCGATAGAAGGAAGGCCTTTTTCTGTTTGATTTTGAAAAATGTGCAGATTGTTGAGATTTGAGAGTTCTCCCTACTGCAAGCTCTTGCTTCTGGATGAACTTTCTAGCTGTCAAAGTTTGGATTTGTTTTGATTTTTTGATTTGACATGAAAAAGACCTTGACCAAAAACTGTGCCTACGTTAAGATCACTCACATGAAAAAGCGTTATTAAAATTATTCCAAAGTACTTATATAATCGGACTCTAGAGGAAATTGCTGCTCTCTCTACTACTTCTTTCTTTGTTCAAGTGCTTACGTTACTCGTCCGAAATTAGTTTGATGGTTTCCCAATGGACTTTTTTATTGTCCGTCTATACTCCCTCTCACTCTAGCTGCCATACTCCTGCCTGTGTAATGTGCCTAAAAAATCTACTCAACCGCATCACTTCTTTATCAAATGCTATTCTGACTGGTGATTGTCTGACTTTATAGTCATCTTTAAAACTAGGTAAGACGTGTTGAATGCAGAGACTCTGGCCTACTGGTGCTTATATCCCTGTGGCTATCTCATTGCATGCTGAAGATGTGGTCAAGAAATATCTGACGACTGAACGAATACAAATTTCCTTTGGACTCTTGCTTGCCAAAATAATAACACAAGAAACAGTCTCTATTTCTAATCGTTTCTTTCCAATCTTTTAAAGAACTCCTTTATTTCCACTTCTTCAAATCTCATAGCCAAACTCATTACACAAACAAGCTGCTGTTACTTTTCCTGGTTCTTCAGGGACTTCAGAAATATCCACTGCATGAATTTCCATCATCTTTTTCCTCCCCTTGTCACTTCGGACATGAGGTTCAGCGGTTCAGTTCTGCATTTTAGCCCACTTGGTTTTTCAGTTCGAATGCTATTCTCTCTCAAACTGAGGTAGCCAAATTGTCTTCCTCAGCATCCCCTACTGAAACCAAGGAAAATATACACACAAAGGATAATGCCCTGAAGGAAAACATCAACGACAGAGAAATAACAGCAGAGCATTGCCTCTTTTAAGGCATCTGTGCTCAGCACTTTTATTTGCTCCTCTAATCCTGAAAACTTGCATCCCTTTCTTTTTTCTCCCTTCCTGATTTGGTCTTTCTTTCAACCCATTGTTTAATCTAGCCTTTCCTAGGACCATTGCCCATGTTCCTTTTAAGCCTTTCTATTACCAACCTATTTCAGTTCTCACACACCTCTGCTTAAACAGAACCTGCACTTTTCATCTGTATTTATCTGCTCAAGATAATATGATTATATCCTCTTTCCTGATCAGATATCTTCAGCTATTACTTAAAGCCTAGAGAGCCAAGTGCAGACTCCTCACTCTGTCATTAATGGCAACTGAGAATTCCATTTGAAGAAATTCTCCAAGGGCATTTAAAATAACTGAAATCCTCTGCAACTAATCCACTTTGAATTGTCCGACTGTTTTATTTTATCTCCAAAAGGATTGCTTTATTTTGGAGTGAAATATTGAATCTTTCATAGAATTTGGAACACATAGTATAGTTTTAGGTCAAACTGGCTTTCGAAAGAGCGAATTGCTAATATCTCCTTAACTCCTTGTTGGTATTCTATTAGAGCAGTGGTCCCTATCCTAATTGTTTAAGGCAAAGCTTCTCAAACTTTGTGGTGTTATAAACCACGCAGGAATCTTATTTAATGCAGATTCTAATTCACTAGTCGGAATACAACTTTAGACTCTAAATTTCTGACAAGTTTCCAAATGATGCTTGTGAAGCTGCCTGAAAGATCACATTTAGGAAAAAGTTTGAAACAGCCTCCAGGCGCAGATTTAGCAGCAGGGCGGGCTGCAGCCACAGTTATAGACGTTCTGATTCAGGGCCCTTATATAATATGTCTTTCAATAGTTTCACTAATTCTACAGAGTGGCTAAGTATTGTTGTAACACCTATTTTGTCCACGAGATAATTGAGGTTTAGAAAAGACGAAGAATAGTTCAAGGTCATGAAACTAGTGATCCGGAACAGGACGCAAACGCAGGTCTCTCCGTCCCCAAAGCAGAGGCTCCTCACCACAGTAGGACAGAAGATTTCTTTCAGTAACATTTTTTTTTTAATTTATTTATTTTTTTTAAAGATTTTATTTTTTCCTTTTTCTCCCCAAAGCCCCCCGGTAGATAGTTGTGTATTCTTCGTTGTGGGTCCTTCTAGTTGTGGCATGTGGGACGCTGCCTCAGCGTGGTCTGACGAGCAGTGCCATGTCCGCACCCAGGATTCGAACCGACGAAACACTGGGCCGCCTGCAGCGGAGCGCGCGAACTTAACCACTCGGCCACGGGGCCAGCCCCTCAGTAACATTTAGATCAGTAACTACACTTCAGGAGAGCTCCCCGGGGATACATTTCTTAACCTGGGGCTGCTTTTGGTTTGATGGCTTGCTTTTGCTTTTTCTTGCTGTAACCGTCACCATTGACTTTTCTGGAGAACAAAAATGTCACTAGACGCAGCTTACCTCTGTAATCCCGTCCTGTGGTACTGAACAGCATTCTAACGCTATTGCACTGGATATGGATATGGATATTCAGGATAATAAATTGATGGATCAGGTTGATAAGGTCTATCTTCTTGAGATAGCTGAGAATTAAAATACTCTCTCTGTATACCAACAAAAGGAAAGAGAACATTGTAGAGAATTGAGACAATGACAGTGCAAATATCTCACAATCAGGTCACTTAAAAAACTTAAGTTGGTAAAGCTCGTAGGACCTTATACAACATCTCCATGATTGTGTTTCAAATGTTTAGTTTTTCACTGTTTTCTGAGAAAAATGACGAAGAGAAGGTAAAAATGATCGTTTCCATTTTTACTGTTTGTTGAAAATGTTGTTGTTTTGTAACACACATGGTTCATAAATGATAGCCAACCACTGGAAAAAGGTTTGATAGCCTTTATAATGTTACCTCTAAGCTTCTACATTGCCCATCCTTGACTGCTCCAGGGCAGATGGATTTACTAATTCCAGTTTAGGTGGGATTGCTACTGCTCACTTGAGATTTATAACGAGCTTATTTTCTATTAAAACTCCTACATTGTTTAATATTGACTTCTGTTAATGCAAATATCTTCATCCCTCCTTCTCATCTTTTTATTGGGTGCCATTTTAAATTCATCTCTTTACTGTATTGGTAACATCAATGTTTGGGAACTTATCACATTAACAGCACATACCAAAATAATATGAGTTGTCAAAGATACATTGCATTCAGAAAAATAATAAATAAATGAAATTTTCTATCTTATTTATCATGGTCAGTTTATCGAAATGATTTCATCAGTCTCCAAAAGAATCAGCAGGTGGAAATTTACCACACCATATGTGCCTTTATCACCCTCTGTGCTCCATTAGACATATGTTACACTTAACAGAATTAGAATTTCAACAATTGTTTCATCAAGGTAATTATTTATCAACAAAGACACCTAAGATCTGAGGGAATAATTGTCTTCCTTAGGGTGGCATTGTGAGTTTCCATCTAAATGCTACTAGTACACAAGACTTTTGGGTCTTTTGCCAGTGTATCATAAATAAATAAAATCAATGTGTACTTGAGCTAGTCATTATACAGATATGTTTCAGAGCTATGTATTGGTTCTTATTTATAGAATAAATACTCAGAGAAGAAACTGTGCTTGTAGTGTACCACATTATCAGAGGAATGCTTACCGGGTATCTTCTCACATGCCTTCTAAATCTCTGTTAAAATAAAGAACAAATTAAAAATTTAATATGTGTTTAATTCCTAGTTTTCTAGGAAAATGAGAATATCTCACCCCCCTCAGATGAATCGGCTCCCATGGAAAAAAGAAAAGAAGAAAAAGAGTTAACATCTTAATTTTATAACTCTAGAGTGCAAAAAAGCACTTAGCTGCTACAATTATGATTGAACAAAATGGAAGCAAAGTCTTGGTAACTGATCCACTAAACTAGTTTCTTTTTGTTTAATGGCGTCTTTAAGATGAGTGAAGGGTAGGCTCTTACAATAACTAATGTGCTACATTCACATATCAATTCATTTTGGTTCAATTTCCTTTGCATGTAAAATGGAGGAAAATATAACCCGTGAATAGAAGAGGGAAAAATGGAAAGCTAAACTTTGGATTTGCTGCAGACAAATGGTTTCTATATGACTATGTTTTGGTGACTCCAAAGCTATTCAAATGTTTGTTGTGCTGATAAAGTTGCCGTTACGTTTTTGGCTATTCTTCTTGATTTTCAATTTTTGCACTTCTGTCCTCTTACAGAAAGCTAAGGTGATAAACAACTTGTTTTTGAAGCATTCACTATAATTTGTCCGATAAATTGAAATATTATTATTATTTCTTGATGGACTTCTCAGTAACTAGACAAAGTAAACCAAAGTGAAAGAAATCAATAATTTTAACAGAAGAGGAAACAAAGGAGGGTGGAGAGGAGGAGGAGAAAAGAGTTTCAGGAAGGTCAGGTGTGTCCATTTTTATTTGTACTCAAGATTTATTCTCGGTCCTTAATAAACTTATGTAGCTGAATTCAAAGAAATTGTCTGTGTTAAAACATTAAAATTAATACAGCCATGTTCAGGTAAATGCAAACATAGGCCAGAACCCAGGAAATAAGAGAGATGTTTTGGAGAAGTAAGGAGAACATATTCTTCAAAATTCCATGACATACTTACAATCATGGCAACCAGGAGAGCCAAGATAAAAAAGACAAATGCAAGGATCTTCATGTTTGGCTGAGTCCTGTGAAGCATACATGAAAAATCAGTGGCACATTCATTCCTGCATTACAAATCAAACATTTGTTACTCAAACTAGGCTCCAAGCATTATGAAACATGCTAGAAATACCAAGACAACTGACACACATTGCCTGGCATCATGGAACTGAGAGACTAGAGGGGGACGTTGATAAGTAAAGATAAGTGCTCTGCTATGGAAAGCTGTGCTAAAAAAACACCCATAATGGAAATCTTAAACAGATCGAGTGAATAAGGGTATTAAAGCAAAGAAAACGTAATCTAGTGTTAGACTCTACGGAATGAGTAAAATGGGAACCTGCAAAGAAACATAAATGAGAGAGAGGATAGCGTGTAGGAAGCAAAATAGTTCAGCTGTAAGAAGGACAAAGAAGGAGCCAGGCTGATCACTCAGATGGTTGTGAGAGTCTAGCAGCCTTCCATAATGATGTTCGAGACAACAATGAAGGTGGAGTTGAAAGAAATGTTTAGAATGTAGAATGACAAGCAACAGGGAACGTTTTTATCATACGTTTAGTGAAAATGAGCCTGGTTTCTGACTTAAAAGTTTTAGATGGTGTAACCCTGGTATTAGAAAATTTGTGATACCAGGTGGAGAAAAATCAACTTGAAAACAAGTTTCACAGAAAATATATGAGGATGCTTTGAGAAATTGCATTGGCAAAAATGATTTAATCATCCAAACTCTCTTATTCAACACAATTAACCAAATCTGGAACTCTTTATATGTTTCCGTAATTCTGTATATGCAAGTGAACACAATTCTGTGGCTGCTGACAAGTAAAGAAAATTATTGATTTCTGAATTAGAAATCTAAATAATATTTTTCAAGCGAAAAGGTAAATAATGAGTAAAGACTTTTTTCTGATCAATATATACATTTTATAAACAGAAGTAGAATAAGACATCATATTAGACTGTACATGAATATATTACCTTTCGCCAAAGATGAGAATCAGGAGCCCAAAGAGCTGGAATTCTGATGCCCTGAGGAGTGATGTGCTTTTCTAGAGGGCTCACCTATTTAAACACACTGACATCATCCATTTGTCATTCTAAATCCTGTCAATTATTTGATTATATTATAAAACTGAAAATCATGCCCAAAGTCTGTGCCCACAGATGACAAAAATAAACTTAAGAGGGTGATTTTACAATAGCGGATTGTGAAGCAGAGTGACCAGGAACCAAATGTACCCAGCAAATGGCTCCCAGTGTTAGTCTAGGCACGTGTGAGTAAGCCAAAAGGAACAGTGTGCTAGAGTAAACAACGTGTAGAAATGAATTGAGGTGGTAAAAGTGTTTCCGTAGAATACCATCTGCCCTGTTTCAACAAAGGGGCATCCGAGATGGAACAAGTCTCTGTCAAAAATCGCATCATCTTATCAAAATGTTTCCTGTTGCCTGACAAACAGTGAAAACTGTCATGACAAAATCGGAGTCAGCATTTATTTCCAATGTGTTTCCTACAAAGGATCAAATTGTCCTTTTATTCTACTGCCTTTAGAGCATTTTAAGTCTGAAAGGGTATTAAAATGTTGGCAAAAGTTTGGTAGTCTTTTCAGTATTGTGTGATAAAATAATTCAATTTTTAAAGTCAAATGACCAGATGCACTCAGTACTGTTTATTAAACATAGTAACTAGATGCAGGTGTTTTGGAATTTAATTTCCTTCCTCTGAGTCTTTAGAAGTTCATGTTCCTCAACGGAAGCCATGTGTTGACATGAATACGCTAGACAGAAGGAAAAATTAGCTTTTACTAAGTCTCTAGGCTAATGTGGATAAAGGCTGACCTCTTTGCTACTGGTTGGAAAATTCAATGTACTCAGAACTGAGTATCATAAAATCATTGCTAAGTTAAGATAAATTCTCTATACCAGTCCATTGTTACTCAGCGTGTGGTGGGTGGGACCATCAGAATCAGCACCACCTGAGAGCTTGCCGGAGATGCAAATACATAGGCCCTGTTTCTAGACACGTTGAATCAGGGTCTCGGAAGTGCACTAGGAATCTCATTTTAACGATATCTCGGGAGATTTCCGCGTACCATAAAGTTTAAGGAGCCACATAATAGACACACAAATGTATTATTTGTCTGTAGACTTGACCCCATTAACAGAACTTAAAGTTTAATTTTATTTCAGGTGTTTTAAGGCAACATTCACTAGGTGAATATTCTATGGTATATTTGAACACCTCATTAAAATTTTTTGTTATTCTCTAGCTAGTATACAAAGCCAGAGAGATGCCTCATTAAGGCAAACAGAGAATTAAAGTCAAATTCAATTTTAATCAATCTGATTGTTCCTTATTTCATTGATTTCTAAGCATTGTAGATAGGCAGGATCTTCTCAAACACTTAACACATCTGTCTTGACATATTCTGATGGAAAAGAGATATACAGACTTCAGTAATGATGAAATAATTCCGATTGTCAAAAATAAACCGTGCTTTATTCATTTTGGAAATGTCAAATGACTTTCTTCCTTCCTTCCTTGTTTCCTTTCCGTTTCCCTCCCCACTGAATTTCTTCCCCTTCTTCCTTGCCTCACCTGTTTCTTCACAGATTCATTTAGCCAATGGTACTAGTCACTATTCTGATAGACCTGTGAAAGTCACAGCCGAGTGAAGAAAACATGAACTACTGCTCCAAAGGCACAGCCACCCGATGACAGCAACAAACACAAACTGCCAGCAATAAAAACTGATAGGTGCTGATATATACATTTACAGCCTACAAGTAAACCTAACTCAGGCATACTTTAGGTTGGGACACCAAAACGTAGGCTTTCTTCCGCCCGTTGTTTTCTGCTCTAACACCATAGGAAGTATGGGGATTATGGATGACAGTGGGAAAGAGAATAGTGGACTTTAAACAGCAGAGTAAGCTTCTTGTATTAGTTATGGTTTCATACTCTAGGAACAGAGGTCATTTTAGAAGATTGACAGACCAGAATATATCCTGATACTTTATAATTAAGTAAAACAGATATCTTATCCTCTGTAAACAACCACCATGCAGTTTGATAAATGCCAGGCCTTTCATTTAAAAGGGAAAAATCAATAAGAGCTACTACTGAATCACAGGTGTGACATTTAATTGGTGGCATAAGAATGCAACCTGCGAATGGGTATTAACGGTGTTTATGCTGGATTGTCTTTCTCCTTCTCCTCCTCCTCTTGTTTTTCTTCCTCTTATTCCTCTTCCTTCATTGCTCCTACAATGACAACACGGTCTACAGTCTATGACAAAATCCATGATGTTGGTTTATTTTACCAAAGAACCATTTTGTGTTATGTTCTCAGGGGAATTACTGAAATGAAAAATACTGCAACTGACAAATCTAGAACAAGGTATGACGGCCGACTAGATAACATGAAACCTCCTGGGCACTGGGAATACAAAGTGACAGTCTCCTATTTCTGCCCTCAGGGAGTTATCTTATGTTATGGACTGAATGTTTATGTCCCCGCAAATTCGTATGTTGAGGCCTTACCCCACAATGTGTTGTATTAGGAGGTGTGCCCTTTGGGCAGTAATTAGGTTTAGATGAGGTCATGAGGATGGAGCCCCCCATAATGGGATTAGTGCCCCTATGAGAAGAGGAAGAGACACCAGAGCTTCCTGCCTCCCCCATGGAAGATGTAGGAAGAAGGCAGCTATCTGCAGACCAGGAAGAGGGCCCCCACCAAGGACGCTTCTGGCACCCTGATCTCGAACTTCCCAGCCTCTAGAACTGTGAGGAATGTCTGCTGTTTAAGCCACCCAGTGTGTGGCATTTTGGTAGAGCAGGCTTAGCTGCCTGAGAAATCTTGTCATTTGTTTAACAGACATGGTTAAAGGCAACCATAGACAGAAGAGTCCAGGATAGGGCTGAATATATGAGTCCAAATTAAGAAAAAGTTCTCTAGACTGGAGCTGAGGATTTAAGAGCTTACTGACTGTAATGAAAATTGTGAAATTTGAAGAGACCATATAGAAAAAGAAATGTGTA